CATATCCTAATATTATATCAAAATGATGTTACGTGACTAACAATGCAAATATAGCCGTCCATAATTAACTTGTTAACGATGACCGTAAATCTGTCATGCATGGATTGACTGACATTCACTATGTAATATCGCAACTAGGCTGATGACCCGTCTTCATGGTTTGAAACGAAAAGAGGCATCATTACTGTATGCTATTATAAAATAGATAATTATCATGCGTTATAAGACTTTGTTACTTGAAAATTTTGACTACATTGCCATTTGCTTCAGAAGTTGAAAGATTATCAAACCAACTGCATGCCCAATTCTAAAACAATTTACTCGCTGAAAAAGGATGTCACGTGCCCCTCCCCGATCCCTAGTATGTTATTATGTTATTATTTTATTAAGTTAAACCGAAAATGGAAATTTTGTTTGCCCTATATTCATGATCTTAAACTCTCTGTCTTAACTTTCGTATCTCCCATTCTCTATAATAATAATAATAAATAATAAAGTCATATTTCTATAGATCATATATCTATATGAAGTATCTTGAGTCCCCTTTTCTCTCTCTCTCTCTCTCTCTCTCTCTCTCTCTTACTATTCTCCGTCTCTCTTTCTCACTCTCTATCTCTCCTTCTCTCAATCTATCTCATTTTTCGTATTCTATCTTCTCTATTCTTCCTTTGGCTGAAGATCCCTTTAAACGCCTCTCTTCATTCTCCAATGTAACCCATATGTATTCTATTTCTGTCGCTTTACCCATTTTGTCTCATTTCTTCACACTATTTACAAAACAACATATATAATTGACATTCAGCAAAAGGTTTAAAATACAACAAGGAGGAATCATTTTGTATTTCTTTGATTTTTGAGTGCGTTTTTGTGAATAGACTTTATTTTGAGAAAAAAAAATACACATATTATATAAATATGACTGTATTACCCCAATTATTCAAGAGTAGCATTTTTGAAAATGTTCACTAGATGCACTTCCCTGTGAGATTTTTACCATTTTGTTATAAGGCAGATGAAATAGATGGACCGGCCAAATTTATTCTGAGATTTAATAAATCGTAAGTCCCTGTGGCAAAGCTCCATTCAAGTGCCATATCCGCCCTCTCTCACTACAGACAATACGGATTAATGGTCTCTTTACTATAAGAGATTGAAAACGTTCCTATAGTAGAGTCGTTGGCGTAAGCGGTCAAATTCAATCGAAAGTAAAAGATGACGTTGCCACTATGACAAGCCGCGCTCCTAATCTCCTATACCATAGATTAAAGCTTGATTTAAACCAAATGACCTAATATACCTGGCAGATTAGGAGGATCTGTAAATAATAATATACCGACCCGGTATCTTCGGCAAAAATCAAAGAAGTTCATCCTAAATGGACACCTTCAAAATAGTCCTGTTGGTTTCCTTAATATTGACCAATAGAATAGTGCGTTCACGGGGCAGAAAGCAGGATAATTCTTTAATAATTTTCTAATAAATGTAAATTTGAATTTCGTTCTCTATCTTTCTCGTTTTCACTGTGTCTTTATATCTTTTTCTCTCTCTCTCTCTCTCTCTCTCTATCTTCCCTTCTTTCCCTTTTGGTCTCTTATACCACTGTATCTCGATCTCGATCTCTATCCGTCCATCGCTTTCTTTCTCTGCGTTTCCTCTGTTAAAATTTCCCCTTCCCCCACTTTCTCTCCCTCTCTCACTCTATTTCTTACTTTTTTAGTCTTTCTTTCTGTCTCCCTTGTCCATCTTGTATCTACACTCTCTTTGGCTAAAGGTCTAGTAGAAGACCTCCTCCTCACACGTGCTTCTTCCCTCCTGTATTCCACTGTCAATCAATTTCTTTCTCTTTTTTAGTGATCCTCCGATTCGTCACCCTTATATTCGTACATGCAGTGTCTCAGTTGATCCTCCGCCCTATTCTTTCCCTCATTCCCTCTTTTCTTTTTTCCTTCCCCGCCCTTACCCGCACAATTGGCGCATTTTGGGATTATGACAAACAATGAAATCGCGCCCCACTCAAAATCTTTCCGTTACTGTATATACAAGCGTGGGAGCAAAGCGACCCAGCGGTAATTTTGTTTAATGATAAACTTTTAAGAATTAGTGTGTTATGCATTTTAACTAGAGAAAAATATGCAAGTGAGCATGGCAAACGAGCTGTAGAGTTTCAAAATGTAAACATTGATAAGCGATTCCTTTTTTTGTTTACTCAAAAAGGGCTTTAACGAAAACTATTGAGAAATATAGTCGAGGACCTTTTCAATTCAATATACAATTCAATTGAAATAATTTTATTCCCAAAACGCAATCAAAACATTTAAAAAATGCTTTCATGAAATGAATATCATATGATATTTGCAATAGAACATACAAATTGAAACATTAGTGTATAGGCCTATTATACAATCTTAAATGTAGATAAGTAATAGAAACATATAACAAAATATATGAGCATAATTATCATGAATTAAGTCGAATTTTAGAGGAAAAGAGAAATCAATTTATCAAAAATCAGAGCTCGTATTTGTATGGATTACTAAAAAAAAAAAAAAAGGATAAAGAAAGAAAAGAAAAGAAAAGAAAGAAAAATAATTCATACGTATTTGATTGATATCAATATTTAAACAAAATATATATACACGGACTGCTTGGAAATATTTTGAATAGGCTTACACCTACTGGTTACCTTTAGCAAGTAAACCAAAAGTTAAGATTTTTTCCCATTTCTAACCTTTGCAAATACCATACTCCTTTTTTGCATTCCTAGTTCTTGATAACGATGGCGTAATATTGATATATTTTAGATATGTTGTCACGATTATCTTGTGCATCATTATATAGCACTAAATAGTGAAATCAAGCATTGCATATTTTTGTCAGTATAGAAGATACATGATGAAGAGCGCATGCACTATCATAATTTGTTTAACTACCTGTACATTGCATTAATATAGAAAACGATCAAAGTGTATGTCGATTAAGTGAAAACATTTTAGTTCCGCCGGCTTTACAATCATGTCAAACTAGTACATTTTCGTAGAATACCGTTATGGATATAATATAGTTTCGATGATTTACTCGCCTACTAGGTATAGATTAATATTCCATGAAAGGCCTACACAAACCGTCAATTTCTTGTTCTAACACCAGATTTCTGTTCATTCATAAAGCTGTGATTGAGGAAGAGTGAAGGATTAAGTCCTATTGTCTCTTTTCATCCACAGACTGACAACGTAAGTAACACAAGCGGTTACTTCGGTCGCTGATAATAGACAGCTTTGCCGCTTTGAAACGCCGCGGTCCTAATGACATGTAATCGTGTTTTTAATCTCTCCTTATGTAATTGACGAATCAGGAGGATCTGTTTAATATAGCGATATAGTTCTCGGTTATCTTCGGCACAATTCAAAGTACTTCTTTCTAAAAGGGCACATTAACCTTAATCCTATTGGCTAACTTAAATGACCAATAGAAAAGTGCGTAAACGCTGCAGAGAGCGGAAAGGGCTTCTGTTACTCAGTTATGGTAATCATTCGCTAATAGCTGCAAAGTCAACCATCAAGTCTAATTATTCGCTCCAAACAAGTACTCGCCTATCATTAATCGCGTTCCAACTATTTATCAGAATGGCAGATTACACCATGATCACTCAAGTTTCACCGAGTAGCATTCCTACCAAACGCCCTCGTCGTCGACGTCCCACCGTCTTCACTGAGTTACAGCTACAGATTCTAGAGACGGCGTTCAACGACAACCAGTATCCTGATATCAATACTAGAGAACAACTTGCTTCAAGTCTGAAACTTGGGGAAGACAGAATACTGGTAAATATCCTTCTACTTATAAGCTACAAATACTGTATCAATAACTTAGTGAAGCAACAATTTAAATTGAAAGCTGTCCTTTGTGTTGACTTGAGGCTTCCTCTATTTATTACAAACTAGCTTCAATCTTCGGAATGACAGGATGATTATTATGATATATAATATAGTTAAAAGCTATAGCTAAATCAAAGTGCTTTCCTTCTGCCACTGATGAAGATTACATTAAATTGGTAAAGTTGTAGTTATCTAAACGAAATAATGATGCTATAAAACGTTGATATTGATTGTATTTTGGGATATTTAATTGATGATTTCTTACATTCTTTTTCTTATGCTTATTTTCAGGTCTGGTTTCAGAATCGTCGTTCACGTCTCCGTCGAGCCTCTCTTGTTTCAAGCTCTACCCATCAACCCGTCATCAAGAAAGACGACATCGGCCATCCTCGCATTCAACCAGCCCAATTAGTTATCGACTTGGCCGTCATCGGTCGTAAGCGGAAGACAATGTGCGACATCGTCGACGTCGACCAGACTACACCACCCACCAAGAAGATGAACATCGTTTCTCCTGCATTCTCTGTTGACTTTCTCTCTCGAAGCAGTCGATCGACATCCGATTCAACGATGCCTTCATCGGATCGACACCACCTGTATCGTGACGTCACCCAGCTCCAGCAAAAGACACCACGTGACTGGACAAAGGGCGCCACCAGTCCAATGATGTCAGTAGACTTTCTCTCTCGTAGCAGCCGCTCTCCTTCTCCCTCTACATCCAGGTATAACGCAGAGCATCTTTACCGCACACCGTCTTCATTCTCCACACCGATGGGTTATCATCCGTACGTCTTCTACGTCAACCTCTAGACATTGACTGCATCGACTAATAAACTCTGAAAGGAACTTATTGTTGTTATATAATAATTTTGCCTTCACGGTCAACGATGCATTCATTTGTGTTATCCCAAGTTGCAATTGAATAAAGTGTCAAAATATCATATCTCTGTCATAAAAGTCTTTACTTTGTTTTCTTTTGATTATATGAAAGGATAATTTAATGGAGAAGATTATATATATGTTATCGATCTTTGAAAGGTATTCAATAGATTTGTTTCATGTGTGTGATTTGATGACCTAATCGTGCTTGTGAGTGAGTGACATATATTTTGAGAACGCTTTTTTGAAGCGAGTGCGCATTACAATTGTATATACTATACTGTATAATCACTTATTTGTATTTATTCCTTCTTATACCCGCTTCTATCTTTCCTCCCTCTCTATCTATCTATCTTTCTTCATGATCTTAAACTCTTTGTCTTAACTGTATTTCCCATTCTCTATTAATCTTATAGCTATATAATGAGATTTCTTGATTTCTCTCTCTCTCTCTCTCTCTCTCTCTCTCCCTCTCTCTCTCTCTCCTCGTCATTCCCTTCATCTATACTCTCTATTTTCTATCCAATTATCCCTATAGTATTTCATTATCTAACCTCCTCCCCAAATCTCTCTCACTCTCCTCCCTCCCTCTTTCACTCTACTCCTTCCCCCCTCTCTCTCTTTCTCTCTCTCTCTCTCTCTTTTCATCATTCTGTCCTCTTTATTTTCTATCCATCTTACCCGTTTACAGTCTTTCATTCTCTGACTCCCCCTTCTATCCTCCCCATGTCTCTCTTTCTTTCTCTCTCCTCGTCATTCTCTTCATCCATACTCTATTTTCTGATTCATTAATCCCTATTACTCTCCTCCCTATACCTCTTTCACTCTATACTCCTTCCCTGTCTCTCTTTCTCTTCATCTATCCTCTTTATTTTCTATCCATCTTACCCGTTTACAGTCTTTCATTCTCTGACTCCCCTTCTATACACTTCCCCATCTCTCTCTCTCTCTCTCTCTCTCTCTCTTTCTTTCTCTCTCCGGCTCAAGTTTATACTATTTTCCGTCGTTATTGCTTCGCCCATCCCCTTCCCTCTCTCAGTTTCTCTCCCTCTCTCTTTCCATGTTTTTTTTCATCTATCTAACTCGCAGTTTCTCTCCACCCCCATTACATTTTTGCCGTTTCTCTTATTTCCTCTCTTTCCCCCGTCTTTATACTGCGTGAAACTATTTTTTGTTTCCCTTCCCAAAAATTCTCCCCTCTCTCTCTCTCTCCCGCCCCACAGAAAAGATTAGAGCCTAACCTTTTGATATCCAACTTGGTTATTGGGTATTGCCCTAAATAAACATTAGACTTAGCACACTGGAGCTTTTAAAGATGTAAGATTATCCTAATTCATAATGTACGTAATTATTGTAATGTCTTGCAGGCGCGGATCCAGGAATTTCTTTAGGGCTGATTGTAACATTTTTTTTTGGCCGGGGGGGGGGGGGCACGTGCCCCCTGTGCCCCCTGGATCCGCCACTGTGTTGATGAATCAAATTTTGTTTTAACGTCGTGAAAACAAAATTTAATTCATCAACACCATTACAATAATTTCGGGCCTAAAATCTTTAAGCCTTAATGTCTTGATTTTTTTTTGTATGAGAGTGTTAGTGTTTGTTCTTGCTTTCTTTTGTTGATTTGTTTAAATCAATTGCCAAACGGTCTAGTAATTTGAGCCAACGCTAAATAAAAAAGACATAAGGCACACATTTATATGCGGGGTGGTAATAGCTAGGCCCGGGGTTAGAGAAAATTTAGGGGAGAAACAGGATAGGCGGATAGAATGCATATGATAAGAGCCCCCCCCCCCTGGGAAGAAAAAAAAAACATGTAAAACACGTGATTTTTAGCTTTTTTTTGGGGGGGGGGGGGATGAGCCCCCCCCCCTGGCACTCAAGGGGGGGGGGGGTGCAAATTTGCAAATTTTCGGGAGCAAAGAAAAAAAAATGGGCCCCCTACCCTGAGAAATCCTGGATCCACGCCTGAGATGGCGAGAGAGAGAGAGAGCAGAGAGGCAGATTCAATTAGAGTGAGCGATATAGAGGGGTATGATGTCATTGTATAGAATAATGACATCATTGATATTTATTCCTGTAATTCTGCCGAATGTTGACATAGTCATCGAAGCGATGATGATTTTGTTCCGATGCAAAACTCGATTCCTTGACGGAAATATGACTTATGGAGCGCCCTCAATCATCATACGGTGGGTGTGGTCATGTGACTTATGTCATGTACACGGGGAAAATGGCTAATACAGTGAATGGATGTAAGCCCGAGTGTCTTGTTTACATCGTGTAAAGGTTGTTTTTACAGAATATTACTTGAAATGAAGGATATCAATTAGCAATATGGGGAATAAGGAGTCTAAACCCTCGGTTATACCTTACGAGGAGGCACTGAAAAAAGGCAAGTATCTTATTTGCAGTATTATTCTTGTGTTCCAGATCCAGTGGCAGTACAGCGCTGTCTCTAGTCTAAAGCTGAGTCTCACTGTCGCAGCATATCGACTCGTCGTGAACGATCGCCTCACTGTACTGCAGTCGGACCCTGACTGCAGGCTGGCCTGCGCTGCGCCTGTTGCTGTAGGCCTACATGTAACTCCAGGGAGCTCCGACCCCGATGCTGAACGCGTCGGACTCGGAGCTCCAGAGTCTAGAGTCAGATTTTGAAAACGATTCAAATAGCATGTTGGGTCACATTTTCTTTGCAATGTCGAGGTAGTATTCGTGCAGCGGTTTGCCTTGCCCCAGACTGAATTTTCCGTCTCTTTTGTTCGTTAAGCCTCTTATTTGGCTCTTATTTGGCTTTTGGCTCTCTCTTTATAGCATTAGGGGTGCGGGCGCTGGTCCAAGAATGAGGATCTTCATAAACAAGGATATCCTCATAAACGCAGACAAAATGCGTCCTCAAAAATATGGGTTGTCTGCATTTTCGAGGACGTTTTTTTTCATCGGCGCTCTGGGGGTTTCATGTTACAGAACGGCCTGCTGTCGATGCCAAAAATGGATTCCCCAGGGGAAAATAACCCTAGTTCACCGTCTATTTTTATGGGTTGTCCGTCTTCCCAAGGATTTATTGCTCATAATGTGAAGATCTCTGTACAAAGTCAATGTAAAATGATTCAAGAAAATCATTGCAGAATCTGTTTTTTGCATCGCCAATGCGCCGTTCCAAAATACGAAAATGCAGACGGTCCTTATTTTTGAGGACGCATCGGTCTGTGTTTACGAAGACGATCCTCGTTTATGAAGACTATCCTTATTCTCGGACCAGCGCCCCTACTGTTTAGAGACGGAAACGGACTATACCGCCAAATGTGTAGGTTAGGTGTGTAAATTTACACACCAAACTTGCAAAACTTATCCCCGAATTACTCCTTTCACACATATCCGCTGCATTTTATATATTGTAAATTAGCTATAGGGCCTAGGCTTAACTACTTCGGTTTCACTTACCTACTTGACTGAAATAATCCATTTAATTTCCTAAAAATAGACCATTAAATGGATTATTTCAGTCAAGTTGGTAAGTGGAACCGAATTAGTTAAGCCTATAGCTAATTTACAATATAAAATGCAGCGGATCATATGCATCCTGTGAAAGGAGTAATTCGGAGATAAGTTTTGCAAGTTTGGTGTGTAAATTTACACATCTAACCTACACATTTGGCGGTATAGTCCGTTTCCGTCTCTAAAGAGAGAGGCGACCCTACCCAAATAACAGGCTTAACGAACGAAAGAAACGGAAAATTCGGTCTACGGTTTGCCTAGACCAAATTTTCTGTCTCTTTCGTTCGATAAGCCTCTTATTTGGGTAGGGTCGGCTCTCTATTGAGAGACGGAAGCCGACCATACCGCCAAAGGTGTGGGTTAGGTGTGTAAATCAATGCACCAAACTTGCAAAACCATGATAAAAATCTTGCAGCGGTAGATCTAGTTTAAACTCTCCCTGCGCATGACGTCATCTACATGTAAATCTCATCCCTTCTAGTAGGGTGTCTGATCGCGCACCCGATGTTGTGTGCTAAAATTCTTCCCATAGAGATTACACGCATCCCTATGCAGTCTACGTGCATTGCGCGACCATGCAAAAAAAGTCAATTTTTTTTTTCAATTCGAGATTCAAACCTTTATCTGTTGTGATCCTGAAGGTGATACTCAATAAATGAGGTGTCATATGAAAGAGCAGGTGAATTCCAATATTTCCAAAGGGGCGTAGCAACCGAAATTCTAAAAATATCTTGGTCAAAACAGCAATTTAAACATTGTGTCCTGGCTAACTCTGAGGTGTGTCACGTTTTGAGATATGATGCCCCGATCGATAATTAGTCCTAGTCCTAAGGAACAATTCTATGCGCTTATATTTTCGCTAGCCCCCAGGGATCACAACTGATAACAGTTTAAAAATACCCTTCTCGCTATTTGGTGGATCAGCTAATTAGGGGGCGTGCGCTCCGCTCAGTCCAAACCATGGTTACATCGCCTGACATCTCGGCGTACGAACGAAACCCCAAATTCAATTACACATTATAGTGAATGAAAGTATGGCTAGCCATTCGCGCAATAAACCTGGAAGTGAATACACGTTATAGTCAATGGCAATATCGCGGAGACAACGTGCGTTATCTCCACGATATTGCCATTGACTACAACGTGTATTCACTTCCGGGTTCTATGGCGCAAACGGCCACCCATACTAGTCAATGGCACATATCGCGGAGACAGCGTGGCTCAAGCTGCAAGTCGCGCATTGGCTTAGCAACATGCGTACTAATATGCATACGCTTGCATATCGCGCGATACAGCTGTTTGTCTGAATTTAGCAAAACAACATCACTCTGCGTGGACGTCTTTTTCGTCGATTTTGACCAAAATGATATGAATATAGCAGCGTTTTGGAGGGGCTGTAACTTTTGATAGAAACATCGGTGAGACTTGAAATTTGAAATGTATTATTTTGATAACATTTTTTATTCAAATATCAAACAAAAATGGTGAAAAACGATCCCAAATTGAAAATTGAAAAATCGTTCAGACATCCTACTTCTAGTCTACGCCGAGTAATTAGTAGGACTTTGTAAGCACCTTGAGGCTTGAGCATCCCCTGGGATGGATATTTCACACTAGACCTGTTTTCATCGGCTCGAGATTGCTAAATATCCCATTATTTTCAGACGTGGATATTATCCAATGCTCGAAATCGCATCTTCATGAGACTGATACGCTCATCACAAACTAGCTCGAAAAATAATCTTGAGATTGACGCATGCTCACTTCAGAGACCGACTGTACGACCAGCGTGTGGATTTAAGATTTTACCCGCACTGTAAAACATACACAAGTACCGGCTGTGCATGCATGCAGCGCAGTTAGAGCATGTGCTACAAGCTAGTTTATTTTTAAACATGGAAAACCGGAAATCGCTGTACATTAAGGCTGTGAAGGGTAGTCGAATGCTCGAGTACCCGCACGGTTGACTACTACTCAGGTACGATTTCTCGTACCCGAATATTCGGCCGCAAAAAAAAAAAAAAAAAAAAAAAAAATTAAATGTCCAGGCCGACGCTTACCCGTGCCTGGGTGAGCGGCGGCCGCTGGCATGGTGCCGTCGGTAAAAATGTTTCCCAACTCAAGCACTGTCAAACTCACCACTCAGAAACTGGGACCAAATGTCTGGATTTCTGCTTGGACTTGGAGGAAAATGGATTATTCTGCCATCTTTGGTTTTTAAAACAGCATTGTTCACTGTTATTATTATTATTAAATCGGCGCCTTCAACTGCAACTCAAAGTAAAATTGCATGCGTTTTCGGCGACAGAACTGACATACTGCTCCAGTGGTATGTATGGTGGTGGCAAAAAAAAAAAAAAAAAAAAAAAAAATCAAAAAAATTTCAAAAAAAAAAAATCAAAATTAAAAAAAACAACAACATGGCATCCGAATACTCGAGTATTCGCTTGTAAGCATGGGAGTGTACTCTGGTACCTCATTACACTGTTGTGCACAGCCTTACTGTGCATGATGGCATCGGGATACTTTGGTCTGATGAAGACGGTTGCAAACTATACCGTTCTTTGGGAAATAGCGGGATATTTTGCAAACTAGATTGAGATTTCTTGGGATATTATCCCGACCAAATATCCAGCCAATTGCTACTTCAGGCTGTTGAAGACGCAAATTAGCTGGATAATTTGGATCGGGATAGTTCTAATAGCGGGATATTTGGCAATCTTGAGCTGATGAAGACAGGCCTACTGTACATGTACATGTATGTGAAATGTACATGACATTGTTGTAAGCTTTTATATAAACCCTGTGTCCTTTATCTATCTTTATATCTATCTTTGTAGTGTCCGAGGATGAGTTGAAGAGATTAAGAGAGGCGTTCAAACGCTACTCCATCCCGGCAGGCTACATGAGCAAACTCATCTTCGTCAAAGATGTCATGGGAGATGCAATGCCCCAGAAACTTGGCGAGGTAAGTCAATGATTCATCCATAACTGCTCTGATTATTCTGGAAGTGTTTTACAATGCATGAATATGAGCGTTTTATAAATTATTATTAAAGTCGAATGTTGGTCATGAATGCATTTTGCATTGTGAAAGAAACCGTGTAGAAGTGATTGAAAGGTTGATCCTGTATATGGGACTACACAAGCATGTGACATGAAAGTTGTGGTCCACAACCTTTAATTTAGCTGTAACTACATGTATGCATATTTCGAATATGAGGGCATTTGAAGAGCCATCCTTGTCAGAGGACATTTTCCTATGATACTCTTCCACTAAAACATAAAAGAATGAAAAATCTCACAAATCACCTTTCCCAGAACTCGACCTTCTCTTAGTTCAAAGTGTAATGTACCAACACCCAAAGCTATTTTGCTCTTTAAATTTGTATGTCAGAGTGTCCATGCTGCCATAATTTATTCAAAGTATGAGCTTCAAATATTGCTCTTAAGTGACTGGTGAGTAGACTAGTAGACGCATCATATTCACTTGCATAGAATACTGTACAATGTACAAGCAGGTTGTTGCATGGAACTCAAGTTCGACTTGGGTTAAATGTGAAGGGTCTCAATATTTTCTTTTTTTCTTCTTTACTTGATACCAAATTAGCCCAAAGAATGCAGGGTAAAAAGATTCTAGGTTGATTGTACAGATTACATTTTTAAAAAGGTGATTTGTACATGTTTATATTAGTTAAAAAGGAGGTCATTATTCCCAAAATAATGGTGTCATACAGATAATAAAAGCAAAGGTAAAAGTAAGAAAAACTTGTGAAAATTGATATTGAACTGAGAAGTACATGTACATGTAGGCGTACTGTGCATCAAATCATGTACATTATGTGTTAAAATTAATTTATATCTGTGGTTTCTGTGCAGTTTTCTAGACTTGACATGAAGCACAGAAACACTGCATCGTCGTCGGATCTCGTGGTTTTTGTGGCTCAATATTCAGTGCCGATGAAATTAATTTGAAGTGAAGTGACTACCACAGTATCAGTATGTACATGTACATGTATGTGTATATCACATACAATGTCTGTTTGACATTCAATGCAGCCTATTTTAGTATAGAAAAAAAAAAGGAAAGATAATTTTTCATGTATTTATTAAGTTACTGGTAACCGCAACTGGTGCCATTTACCAGAAATTGATGCACAGAATGTCGCATGTGTGCTTTTTCAGGCAAATTGCCTCTAGCCATGTTGCATTTCAGGCAGAAGAGGCTGATGAAATAAATACAAAATAATTTGAAGATCCCCTAATTTTGCCTTCACCCAGCTAAAGTGTATAATTGCCCCTCCTCTCTCTCCTTCACCCCTCTCTCCCCATCCGAACCTTGATCTATCAGTTCTCAATGTATTGCTAATGTCTGACTCATCCTTCAAGAAGTAAGCCGTGATTGGCATGGAAAATGGTTTGGGATGTAGACAGACAGATTGAAGATTGTCTGATGCCCTGTTCAGATCAGAGGAAATTTTTACAAAATATTAATAATTACATTTATAGGGCGCTTTATACAGACGTTTCTAAGTGCACATGTGGTACTGTCTAACTTATAATTATTCTATATGTTCAATACCTTATAATCAACAAAACAAAATAATAAAATATAACTAATACTAGGGCTGTGCACAACAGTGTAATGAGGTACCCGAGTACACTCCCAGGCTCACAGGCGAATACTCGAATATTCGAACGCCATGTTTTTTTATAATTTTTTTGATTTTTTGTTGTTGATTTTTTTTTATTTTTTTGAATTTTTTTGATTTTTTTTAAATTTTTGGATTTTTGGATTTTTTCCTTTTTTTTCTTTTTTTGCCACTACCATACCACTCGGCAGTTTCAAAGGTCCCTCGCGCAGCTCGCTGAAAACGCATGCAACTTTACTTTGAGTTGCAGTTGAAGGCGCCGATTTAATAAGAATAATAACAGTAAACAATGCTGTTTTAAAAACCAAAGATGGCAGAATAATCCATTTTCCTCCAAGTCCAAACAGAAATCTGGACATTTGGTCCCAGTTTCTGAAAGGTGAGTTTGACAGTGCTTGAGTTGGGAAACATTTTTACCGACGGTACCATGCCAGCGGACGCTGCTCTCCCTGGCATGGGTAAGCGTGGGCCTGGACATTTTTTTTTTTTGCGGCCGAATATTCGGGTACAAGAAATCGTACCCGAGTAGTTGTCAACCGTGCGGGTACTCGAGCATTCGACTACCCGTCGCAGCCTTAACTAATACAATACAATACAATACAATTGAGTTAAATGGAATTAACTACTTGTGTGCGCCTCCAGTAAACTATAACTGATTAAAAAGGTGGGTTTTGAGAAGGGTTTTGAATGATTCAATGGATGGGGCATTTTAAATATGAGGTGGTAGTTTGTTCCAGAGGGCGGGGGCAATCGATGAAAAGGCACATTCACCATAGCGGGCATTTGTTCGTGGGCCGTGAATTAATTGCATGGAGGAAGATGAACGGAGGGATCTCGCCGAAGAGAAGGATCGAAGGGAGACTAGGTCAAGAAGATATTTAGGGGCAAGGTTATGTATTATTTTGTACGAAAGAAGTAGGATTTTGAAAGTAATGCGAGAATGGACCGGTAGCCAATGAAGTGAGCGAAGAATAGGTGATAAAACTGATAAACTGTATTAAAGAAACGTCGTATAACGAATCATGGTATTGTGAAAGCGGTGTACAGACTGGATATCATGGTATTAAAGGTATTACAAAGTTTGGTATGGGTTCATGAATTTGGTTCAAATGAACATACGTATTAGAACCATGCAATCCTACATTATTCAGTGATCGTTGTCAATTGGCAATAAGCCCCACCTAATGTACAACTGTACATGTTACTGTTAGAGCTGTTAGAGTAGTCGAATACTTGAGTACCCGCACTGTTGACAACTACTAGAGTATGATTTCTCGTACTCGAATATTCGGCCGCAAAAAAAAAAATTAAAAATCTCTTCCTGTACATGTTTGTAGGATTGTAGGAACTAGGAACTGTATGAGGCATTGATTCATTTTTTTTTTTTTAATACAATTTGTTTATTGGCTAAACTTCACACATTTTGGGGTCTAAAATTACCTTCATTACCTTCATTGCCAATTTTAGGTCCTAAAAGGGCACTAGAAATGTCATGAATAAGAATCAGAGCAATATGGAAAGCATTTACGGTCTGAAACAAGAACTCAACTGTCTCTACTAAAATCATGGCATCTGATTGGCTGAGAGCAAATTGTCATATAAATTTAAACCTACATGCTATCCCTACCGTCGTAGTAAACCTAACCTAAAAAAAGAAGTGGAAACCCAAACCTAACAGTACCGTATAGTATTTTTGACGATATAGACACAAGATAAAAGTCTAACTACAGCCAAAGATTGTGAAATGACTGCTCTGTGGGAAAGAAACATGCCATGCGTGGAAAAGTCATCAATTGGTGTTGCTATTTGATTTCCTCTCGATGTAGCTTTAGCCGGCAGTGGAAATAATATCCTTTGCTTTAAGCATTCCTCAGGCACAAGAACTACATGTAGGCCTGTGCATGTACATGTAGGTGAAGTTGTGTACTTGTCCAGTTCTGAAACTGGAAAAAGTATTTGATACATGTACAGTATGTACTACCTGTAACTGTACATGTACATGTACAATGTACTGTACTGTACTTCAATAACTTATACCTGTAATAGAAGTGTGCATACAGTATTTGTAATTTATACTTCTAAATAATTCTTATATTCATATTTTGAATGTACTGGTTATATACATGTATTGGGAAAAGATTCTCTTGACACAGTTAGCTTACAATACTTTACATGTACATGCAGTCTAAGTTTTAATTACATGTTTATTCGAAGTTATACAATTTTTAAAAAATTAACAAATCTTGATTAACGGTTTTTCATTATTTCAAAATACTACCGGTACATGTATGTTTTAAATGATCTTCTGTAAGACCAACTGTACATTTATCATGCACTATTAGGTCATGACTTTAAAAAAAATGGTATACCATGCAGTCATTACATTCTACATAAGTATGATACATGTATACAGTGTATATTTCTCATATTAATGCTTTTCAACCATATTTTGTTTATACTGAATGATTCTGATATATTCATTTTATTTGTAGTGAAAAGGATTTTAGAAAAAGGCCCTAATTTTGAGGAAAGTACAGTGAATATGGCCTTAAAAGATAAAGTTGAGTTCTGGTCATGCGATTGCATTGTGAAAGAAGCGGTGTGGAATCGATCAGAAAAGGTTGATCATCTAGCATACATGTACATGTATGTATCCTTGTGTACTGCAAGGTTCTGGAATCATCAAAATGATTAGAAATTTGGCCCAGTCTTGGTAAAGCACTGTACACAGAAAGATATGGGACTACACAAACATGTGGTATAAAATCATATGCTGTTACATTCCATATTTAGAATATTAAAACATTTGAAGAGCCATTCTTTTCAGGGAACATTTTTTGTCTGATGTTTATCCACACTTGCATTATAACAATGATAATGCTCACAAATTATTTTTCACCTCATCCCAGAACTCAACCTTCTCTTTAATAGTACTAACCATGTAGCCTTATGACAACAAAGCAACCTATTTGCACAATTGTATTTGCAAATAAATGAACTGGACATTAACTGAACTGGAAATTAACTGAACTGGAAAAGGTGAACATGTGATTGGTATTACTGGGCAATATCAGATGGCAATAAACAATGTGCAAATACATTTTTATTTACATAACACGACTGAAGTGAAACATGCGCTTCCATCCAAATACTTTTCAAATTCCTTTGGAGATTATTACGTACACATGTACAGTACATGTAAATAAAGGAGTGCTGGGAGATTTGAATAATGGAAAATTGAAGTTGGTAATTTGTTTAGTATGGAAGTAAAGTGAATAATAACTTTGAAATTGCTATTTTTGCATGACATTTGATCTGATACAAACTACCAATCACATTTTAATACTTAAATTCTTATAGTCAGTAATGTAGGAATGAAATCATGCAGAGACTTGATATGTGTACCGTACAGTTTCCCTGATTACAGAGTGTTTAAAGTCCAGTTTTTGTTTCCTTCAAATTGTATGTATAATAAAGAAAGTAGAGATAAAGTTTTAAAAAAATATGACTTCTTTGTAGTGCATTAACTGGTATTCCACATGTTGTTGAATTGTCAAGTCCAATAATAATTTGAATTGCACAACAACACAAGGTACACCTGTACTGTAAAACCAGACATTTTCATGACCTGAAACTTTTTACGAATTGGGGCTGACAGCCTTTTTTCGTGGCATGTATCGTCCATGAAATGCCAACCATGAAAAAAACATTGGGTCTACTGTACATGCACAGGTACAGGCATTCAATGCATAGTGTTGCCCAAAACTTTTGTCATATTTAAAATTTGTGAAAGTTTTATACTGGCAAAACTTTGCGATTTTACAGAGGTAAATCTATTGCAGTTGCCCATGTACAGCACATGTACATGTACATGTACATGTAGGCTAATACTCTTTTCACACTGGTTTTGCTTAACCCCGTACTTTCCTTAGCCCCGTACTATCCTTAACCCCGGACTATTTTTTTGGCTTTTCACACTCGCTGTTTTTAGTCCCGTACTAGCGCCTATTCCGGAATAAGAAAATTCCCGCTGTTCTCACTGCATTTCGTTAACCCCGGATATCGTGTATGTTATGATAGGACATACTTCGCATCTGGCCAGCTGCGATACGCTCCATTGCGTAGTACCGGACTATTTTTCGTTTCTGTTCTCATTCGTTTGCTTAGCACCGCAATTGCGGGGTTAGCAGGAGTTAGCACCACAATTGCGGAGTTAGCCCTGCTATTTTGCAGGGTTAGTTAACCCCGTACTATAGGTGGGGTTAGCCAACTTTAGCCCACTTTGGTAAAAGCCAGTGTGAACAGAAAGTGGAATAGGCTTAACCCCGTACTATAGGTGGGGTTAAGACCCCCCCTTAACCCCACCTATAGTACGGGGTTAAGGAAAATATTGCCAGTGTGAAAAGCATATAAATGTACTCCACTTTCATGTATCCCAAATGATTTTTTTTCTGCTCTCTCTCTCTCTCTCTCTCTCTCTTTTTGAATTTCAGCATCTATTCTTTTCTTTTGGTGGGACAAATAAAGGAATTACCTTCAAGGATTTGTTTTGTGGACTTGTCTTGCTGACGAGAGGGAGACAGGCAGAAAAACTCAGATGTAAGTATACAAGACTTTTTTCTTTTGTTCAAAAGTAAAATAAATTGTGTTCTGTGTGAGCATTTTAGGGCAGGTCCAAGCTATTTGGATTGTGACGTACGGGACATTTAGAGACTTTAAACAAGAAATAACAACAGATGAAATTATTTATATGGCTATCTTTTGGTATGAGTCTGTGACTATTATTGGCTAGTTCCCGCTGTGGTCCCGTACGTCACGCAGCACATTAATTACATTTAAAATTAATTAAAAAATTGTTCAGAACTAAAACTTTCCACAAATGAACTAGCCAATAATAGCCACAGACTCATACCAAAAGATAGCCATATAAATAATTTCATCTGTTGTTATTTCTTGTTTAAAGTCTCTAAATGTCCCGTACGTCACAATTCAAATAGCTTGGACCTGCCCATTACCAAAGTTAATTAGTACACACATGTACTAGTGGACATGTAGTTTGATGCATGTATCCGTCTCCTGGTAGTGCATGTGAATTCGCATCCCTGGCCAGGGTCTACTCTAAAGTCTTCATCTTTTATCCGTGTAATATTTCACTTACATGACTGTTTGCAGAAAAAAAGTCACAATAACACCATATAATTTTTTTTATTTTTTTGATCAACTGTAAAAATAAAAGACTGCTGATTTTCAAACCTGTGGCTGTGGACCACCCTGCCACTGACAAGGGTGTGTTTGTGCTTGCAAAATATATGGAGCTCATACTAGTGTGATGTAGTAATTTGAATAGTCTTGTAGTTGAGGATGAGTACCCTGCTGTCTGTCACCCAGGTGGGGATACCATTAACATTCCTGATTTAAAGCTAAGGGGATATTTCCATCTTTCATGATAACAGACCAAAGAGATACCAGCTGGTATCTCTTTGAACAGACTGACTACTTATGGACATCTTTGACCCTACCATGCCCCCTCACAGGTCACACGCAAATCTTCAGGTGTTGGCCAATGCAGGAACTCGTTACTAATGCAAATGTTTTATTATCATTATTTATTAATGATTTGGCATCACCTGTGTCATTGAGGGGAAAAAGCGAACAGAATCATGTGGAACCTCTGGTCTCTCCTCCAGGTAAAAACATATATTGGAATGTACACTGTACAGGTGTACATATATATACCACTGTACTGTCAAACAGAGGTTTCCCACACTCTCTGATGAGCCTTATGAAGAGTGAAGTGAGTTCTTTTAGATATTCAAAGGTGGTGAATCTCCTCCACATGGGACCTCCATTTAACATCCTATCCTAGGGACAGAGTGTTTTCCATTGTAACCTAGAGTACTATTGGTATATGCAGTGATGTCTCTGAGATGTAGTGGCAGACGACTATGTTGTTCCAACACATTGTTCCAACACATTGTTCCAACACACACAAGCACTAAAATTTAAAATTGTCAAAAGTGTATGACTCAGGAGGGTCTACTCACTTTTATAGAGGACCTATGATAATATGCTATCCATAATATATTTTGAGTAGTGCACCAAAGGGAGAAGGCACTTGGGAGAAAAGCAGAAATTAATGATATTTTGTACATGACAGACAAGAGCGTTACCTGTACATGTATATCCGTGACTCTGTGTCACAATCTACTGACCAACGATTTTTCAAAACGTTTTTTGTTGCTGTGTAAATGGGCCTTCTGTCATATGTGAAAGACATGTAATTGGCCATCATCCAGAGTGATCATCATGACCTTCAATCAAGGAATGGAAAACAAAATGGCAGTAATCCATGCGATTGGAAGGCTGGTAGCAGGCCAGGCTTTCAACATGGAAATCCCAACCTTCAGTTTCTCCCGAAGACTAATCCATGCTTTCCATTTCCAATTTTCCATCATAGATAAATTCACACTTGCAAACCATACATGTACGTGTATGCCCTACAGTGTATGCTACATGTAGTTGTGAAAATGCGATATTGAATGAAATACATGATACATGTACGATGTACATGTAATGTACATACATATCTATTCGCTTTATACTGAAGGGTTTACATTAAACTTTACATGCATACATGTAGTGTGTGATGAATACTTTGGAGAAATCAATGGTACATGTATAATAAACACCTTTTTTTAAAACAGAAGATTCGCTTGTCATTAGAATTATGTGATTTTGATACATCCTTTGTTCCAATGAAATGAAATTGAAAGGTGATACTTTTTTTGGTTAAAAATACCACACTCCAGAGGTGGGTTTTTCGATTTCAATTTTTCTTCGCGTTTGTCGGTAGTTGCTACATGTATGCGCTGCAACAATTTTTTTGCGGTGTAAGTGCAGCTCGTGTGTGCTACATTTGTATATCCTGTTCACTATTTCAGTGGCTTTAGATGAGTTCATGCTCTGGATTATTACCGGTAATCACAACTACATGTACTTTTGTTTATTTTCATTACAAAAAGCAAAATGAAATTGAAATATACCTGACGGTCAAGTAAGGTCTTAAAAAGCAGTCTCTGTCTGAACACAACTGTACAGCAGTCTGAACACAACTGTATAGCAGTCTAGAAAACAGGATTTGGCAACGATCCATTAGAATGGTTTCTACATTAAATGATAGGATGACCTTTACAAACTGCATGAAGTACTGACATAAACACATCACTGAGTGAGAAAATATAGAATTCGAGTGAATTTATCCCTTAATGATGAATTTAGGATACTACAGTGTATGGTGCATTCTGACTATGAGAGATCAAATACCTGTATGACACAGATACAGTTAACATCTAAAATAAATTATTCATACCTTTACCAAATTTTGTAATTTTTGAAGTATGTGAAAAATTGAGTTGTCCTGATTTATGTTTCTTGAGAATCAAAGCTTACATTTTAAAGTACTAAAATAGGCCCTATTTCAACCAGTCTACCTTTCATTCTTCTTTTTTTCTTGAGTTAGAAAAAAACATCAAATTTAACTGTATCTTTACATGTACCTTCAAGAGTTCCTCTCCATCAGCATCTTATTGTGACTGATTGAAATTTTAAAAAGACTAGAAATCGATCAAATTCTGTATTTTTCAAGATTGAAATTGAGATGTCCACTCGAAAAACATAAGCATATTGAACTATAATGTGCGACTCTTCTGAAAAAAAAATAATTTAAGTATTTGAATATTAATGGTTAAAAGTTTATTTTCCTTATTCATTTTCAAATAGAAGCATATAAATTGACTGAAATAATCTTTAATTTATGAATCTGATTTTGTTTTTCATTGTGACTGTGAGTACAAGGCAGAGGTGTTTCTAATCCATTTATCATATGATTCAGTAGAGAGGCTATGAAGTAATGTTTATATTTAGGCAACTCTCCTATTACCCACTTAATGCACCAGACTCGCTAGGGAGAGTATGACATTTCTTGCCAAAAGCCTATATCAGGCTTAATCTTAAAAGTGGTTTCATACTCTATCATCCACTCTACTGACTCGATCGAGCTGTTAGAATTATGTATTATCTAGCCATCCTCAGCTCTACTGTAGCTATCTGTGATTTCCACAGTGATATTGCCAAACCAATTCCAAAACCAATCAGTTCTTGGCCATTTGGCGTAATGTTAATTCCTGTTCTGTGTGTTTTGTCTGGGGTGAGTTGAATTGGTGTGACTGAGTAATATTTCTTTGAGAATAGTCCAATTATAATATACATGTACAAGACCGTGTAGAACATAATTCAAAGCGTACTGTTGGAGAAAAGTGTAGCAAAATGGGGAGGAGCAGGGCAAGCAAGTGAATCAAGCGAACATAAATGTACACTGTAGACCTACAGTATACATGTATGATAGTGATGAGAAAAAGATAGTGCTGTTCAACCAAAAATACTTGTGCATAAATTATTGTCTATCGCATCGTTTTCAGTTTCATACAAGTCTAACATTACAAAACAGTTGTATGAAATTCCATTTGCGAAATTTTTTCACAAAACAAGTGAATGATAACGTCAAATTTTTGCAATTCGTGAAAGTCACATACAGAGAAGGTAGCTGCCATGTGAAAAATTCAGGTCATAGATGCTTGTGGTTTTATATTATTCACAAAAGGCCGGTTTCTATCAGCTCCAGTTTGCCAAATAATCTGTTATTTTCAGACTCGGGATATAATATAATGAAGCTAGTAATTTTTGCTTCACCAGACCGTTACACTCATCACAAACTAGCTCGGACGGGTGCAAATTAGACCACTATTTCCCAAATAGTGGGATATTTTGGAAACAAGACCAATATATCTTGAGATATTTTCTCAACCAAATATTCCACTAATTGCAATTGCGGGCTGATGGAGACGCAAGTTAACTTGCTAATTTGCGATCTGGATAGTTAAAATAGTGGGTTATTTGGCAAACTCGAGCTGATGAAGACAGGCCTAAATATATTGCTCCTTTTTCTTTGAGATAAAGGGGCAAGAGAAGTAGAAAAATATGTGAGATGTATATACATACAGGTGTAGTAAATTAATTAGATGTCCTTTGGCACGGCATTGATCTACATTTATATGTACAACTCCATACCCAGGAGAGAAATGGGGACCTCGTTAGATGGCGAAAATCTTTGTGTTGGTAATTGCCATACAACTGTATGCCCTCAATATGACTACAATGGTAGAAATACTCCCCAGGGAGTGAAGATGGTGCACATTGTGCGTGAATGAATTTGATGACCAAGGGTAATAATATCTGTAAAGTGGTACGAGACTGTATTTTGTACTATTAAGCGCTAGATAGAAATCCAGATTATCATTATTATTAGACAATTTGCATTGATAAAGTTCTATAAGACTTAGAAAATATGCACAATGGAGATACAGATCATCACTATTTATTCTCTACAATGTACGTTTCACATTCATATTAGATTGAACATGCACACTACAAGTGACACAATGGAAAGGGAAGGCAAACCATGGTAAAATAAATAACCCAAGCAGAGGACCCAAATTGAGAAAACAAAAATGGGATTGTCGAGTCAAATGACACAAACCTTT